TGGAGGAAAAAGAAGAAGAGGGTTTGCAGCTTTCAGACATGACGGAGTTTTGCCGGAGTGTATTGACACCTTTGGAAAAGGCGCAGGAGGCCAGAGCGACTCTCTTAGGCGCGAGACTCACCAGGCAAACCCTAAACCCTAAACCCTAAACCCTAAACCCTAAACCCTAAACCCTAAACCCTAAGCCCTAAGCCCTAAGCCGACCTTGCGTAGCCGTAAGGCCCGCTGGGGGAGTGCGTGAGCTGCGGCCGAGCGGGCCTGACGGGGAGGGAAGGGATGAGGGTTTAGGGTTTAGGGTTTAGGGTTTAGGGCTTGCTGCAGGGGCATCAAGATCGGCAGCAGCAGCAGCAGCAGCAGCAGCAGCAAAGCAGCACAAGGGTCTCTCTCGCGAGACAACGAGCAGCAGCGGGAGGAGACAGAAGAGGGAGAGTTGGTGGAGGCAGCAAAGGAAGACGACGGCGAAGACGAGGACTCAGAGGTACCCTAAACCCTAAACCCTAAACCCTAAACCCTAAACCCTAAACTGGGGGTTGCGAGTAGAAAGCACTGCACCCTAGAAGTGAGCTCTTATCTCCTAGCGAGCAAGAAAGCGCTGGAGAGGCCTTCAACGGCCACGCTTAGGAGGGTTTTGTTGAATTGGGGCTGGCGTTCTCGGTTTGCCCCGCTTCAAGGTGCTCTAGGGTTTAGGGTTTAGGGTTTAGGGTTTAGGGTTTAGGGTTTAATTTAGGGTTTAGGGTTTAGGGTTTAGGGTTTAGGGTTTAGGGTTTAGGGTTTAGGGTTTAGGGTTTAGGGGTTTAGGGTTTAGGGTTTAGGGTTTAGGGTTTAGGGTTTAGGGTTTAGGGTTTAGGGTTTAGGGTTTGTATTTAGGGTTTAGGGTTTAGGGTTTAGGGTTTAGGGTTTAGGGTTTAGGGTTTAGGGTTTAGGGTACGGTTTAGGCTTTCGGGTTTAGGGTTTAGGGTTTAGGGTTTAGGGTTTAGGGTTTAGGGTTTAGGGTTTAGGGTTTTGTTGAATTGGGGCTGGCGTTCTCGGTTTGCCCCGCTTCAAGGTGCTCTAGGGTTTAGGGTTTAGGGTTTAGGGTTTAGGGTTTAGGGTTTAGCAGTGGTCAGCTTAGGGTTTAGGGTTTAGGGTTTAGGGTTTAGGGTTTAGGGTTTAGGGTTTAGGGTTTGCGGTTTAGGGTTTAGGGTTTAGGGTTTAGGGTTTAGGGTTTAGGGTTTAGGGTTTAGGGTTTAGGGTTTTGTTTTAGGGTTTAGGGTTTAGGGTTTAGGGTTTAGGGTTTAGGGTTTAGGGTTTAGGGTTTAGGGTTTAGGGGTTTAGGGTTTAGGGTTTAGGGTTTAGGGTTTAGGGTTTAGGGTTTAGGGTTTAGGGTTTAGGGTTTGTAGTTTAGGGTTTAGGGTTTAGGGTTTAGGGTTTAGGGTTTAGGGTTTAGGGTTTAGGGTTTAGGGTTTGTGTGTGTCCTTCATTAGCCCGAGTTCATGGCGGAACAACCTATAGGAAATTCAGTCTCAGGCGCTCTGGCTTACCTACAAAGCAAAGGTGCTGCAGCACCCCTTTTATTCTGCTGCTGCTGCTGCTGCTGCTGCTGCTGCTGCTGCAATTGCTGTTGCTGCTGCTGCTGCAGCTGCTGCTGCTGCTGCTGCTGACGCATTATTGGTGTAGGCTGAGGCTTGCAAAAGAAGCGTGGGGCCCCTTCACTTTGTGCTCCTCGACTAGCGCCTAGGGTTTAGGGTTTAGGGTTTAGGGTTTAGGGTTTAGGGTTTAGGGTTTAGGGTTTAGGGTTTGCGGTTCAGACTTCTTTTCTTTGGATAAGATCCGGCGGCGGCGGGGCCACCACTTGGAGCAGCCGCTGCACAACGCGGACTCTGGCAAAGAAGTGAACATAGACTACAGAGACGCGTTTGGGAATGTCATGGTTCGCCAAACCCTAAACCCTAAACCCTAAACCCTAAACCCTAAACCCTAAACCCTCGGTGCTGAGTCCTCAGTGCGTCGGGAGGAGGGCGCGGCGCGGCGCCGCCGGAGTCCAGCGCGGCGGCTGCGCGGGCTGCTGCCGCCCGCTGCTGCTGCTGCTGCTGCTGCTGCTGCTGCAGCGTTTAGGGTTTAGGGTTTAGGGTTTAGGGTTTAGGGTTTGGGCTGCGCAGACCGCCAAGGACGCCTTCCGGCGGATTTCCTGGCACTTTCACGGGAAGTTTCCGAGTTTGCGAAAACAAGAAAAGAAATTAAAAAAGTTGGAGTTGGGTGAGTTGGGGTGTACGTACACCGCAGCTGCATGCATGCGCATGCGCATGCATGCGCAGCGAGTCTCTTTTGGGGGCTTTTTTGTCTCTTTGCGGGTTTTTTTGTCTCCTTTTTTGTCTCCTTTTGGGGCTCTTTTGTCTGCTTTTTCTCCGTCTTTCCCTCTTTTATTTCTGTCTCCTTTTTGTCCCTTTTGTCTCCTTTTTTTTTCCAATTTTCTTTTTTCTTTTTTGTCTCTTTTCCACCATCTCCGAGAGGAGACACTTGGTTTGCAGCTGCCTCTTTTGTCTCTTTTTATTTCTGTTTTCTCTTTATTCCATTTTCCTTTTTTATTTATTCTTTTTTCATTATTTCTTCCGTCTTTTTAATTTATTTCGCCTTTTTAGTTTATTTTGTCTCTTTTCATTTATTTTGTCTCTTCTCTATTTCTTCTGTCTCCTTTTATCTCTCCTGTCTCCTTTTACCACTTCTTTTTCCTGCTGTCTCCTCCGCTCATGCTGCCTCCATTTCTTGTGTCTCCTTTTCCCTGCTGCTGCTGCTGCTGCTGCTGCTGCTGCTGCTGCTGTTGCTGCTGCTGCTGCTGCTGCTGCAGAAAGGAGACTGCAGGAAAACCTAATGGAGTCTCTTCCGACCCTCAAGGCCCTCCAGCGCGTCCAGGAGGGAGAGGGCACGGCCCACCTCGTACTCACTGGCGGCAGCCTCGACGCCTAGCTAGCTAGCTAGCTAGCTAGCTAGCTAGCTAGCTGTTGATTAGCGAGCTAGCTGGCTAGCTAGCTAGCTAGCTAGCTAGCTAGCTGGTGATTAGCTAGCTAGCTGGCTAGCTAACCAGCTAGCTAGCTAGCTAGCTAGCTAACGGGTGGTTAATTGATTGTCTAGGTACCTATCTAGCTAGCTAGCTGGTGGCTAGCTAGCTAGCTAGCTAACCAGGTGGTGGGTGGCTTGCCAGCTAGCCGGTGGCTAGCTAGCTAGCTAGGTGGCTGGCTGGCTGGCTCGATAGTTAGCCAGGTGGTGTCTGGCTAGCTAGCTAGCCAATGGCTAGCTGGCTGGCTCCGTCAGGAGTGTGCGTACACTCCGTAACGAGCGCTGCTGCGGTGTACGTACACCGTAGACACCTGCGGCTGGCTAGCCAGCTAGCTAGCTAGCCACCTAGCCAGCTAGCTAGCTAGCCAGCCTGCTAGCTAGCAAGCCAGCTAGGTACCTAGCTTGCCAGCAACACAGCTAGCTGGCTAGCTAGCCAGCTAGCTAGCTAGCTAACTAGCTAGCCAGCTAGCTAGCTAGCTAGCCCCGTATGGCCGGCAGCTCAGGAGGTTGAGCAGCAAGGTGTACGTACACCTGCGCCAACTTGTCGGCTGTTTTGCTGCTGCAAAAAAAAGAAATAAAAGGCTCAGGTGTACGTACACCCCGGCCCGCGCAAGGCGTTCGAGGGTTTGGGCTTTAGCACAGACAGGCGAGCAGCTAGCTGCCCAGCTAGCTAGCTAGCTAGCCAGCTAGCGAGCCAGCTACTTAGCTAGTCAGCTAAATAGCTACCAAGCTAGCTAGCTACTTAGCTCGTTAGCTAGCTAGCTGGGTTGCTAGCTAACTGGCCACGTCATGAAGTAGGCAGCCAGGTAGTCAGCTGGCTGGCTAGCTAGCTAGCTAGCTAGCTAGCCGGCCAGCTAGCCATATGGCTAGGTCGCTAGCTAGCCACTTCGCCTCTCCCCAGCAGCTGCTAGCTCTGCAGACTTTCCCAGCAAGCCCTTGGCTAGCTGACTCAGCCCCTGGCTAGTTAGTAGCTAGCTAGTTAGCTGGCTAGCTGGTAGCTAGGTAGCTAGCTAGGCAACTAGCTAGGTAGCTAGCTAGGAAGCTAGCCAGGTAGCTGGCTATGTAGCTAGCTACATAGCTAGCTGGCGAGACCCCCAGGCATGTAGCTAGCTAGCTGTCGAGGCCCCTAGCTAGCTAGCTATATGGCCAGCTAGCTACTTGCTCGTTGGCTAGCTGGTTGGTCACGGACTAGCTGTGCAGCTAGCTGGTAATTTCTTGAGTAGCTAGCTGCTTATTCGCTCGCCGCCTGGCTAGCTAGCTCTTCAGTGGCTAGCCGCCCAGCTAGCTATAGTCAATGCTCAGCTAGCTAGCTGGCTAGCCAGTCAACCGGCTAGGCAGCTAGCTAGCTAGTCAGCCAGTCAGTTAGCTAGCCAGCTACCTGGCTAGCTAGCTAGCTAGCTAGCCGCTAGCTGGGAAGTGACGGGATCTGTGAAGAATGCTGTGGAGTCAATTTCTTGCGCAGCAGAAGACAGAGCTGTCTGCTGCTGCTCGTGTTTGCTGTTGCTGCTGTTGCTGCTGCTGCTGCTGCTGCGCTGCGTTTGCTGCTGCTGCTGCTGCGCTGCTGCTGCTGCGTGTGAGTACAAACGCAGAGTCGTTGACACACACGCCAAAAGCCGCAGCTGCACCAGCAGCAGCAGCTGCTGCTGCGCTACTGCTGCTGCTGCTGCCTGGCTGCTGCTGCTGCTGCTGCTGCTGCTGCTGCTGCTGCTGCTGCTGCTGCGCTGCTGCTGCTGCTGCTGCAGTCAAATGTAGTTGTGGAGCTGCTTGTCTTTGAAGGGGTCCAGCCCCAAGTAAACCCGCAGCCAAATTGTCTCCAAAGGGCCCCACAGCCCTTCGCCGCTCCAGGGCTTTGCTGCTGAGGAGAAGCGCAGCACGGAGATGGGTCTGCATGCAGCCCACACGGGCGGCGGCAGCGCCTCTGCTGCTGCTGCTGCTGCTGCTGCTGCTGCTGCTGCTGCTGCTGCTGCTGCTGCTGCTGCTGCTGCTGCTGCTGTGCTGCTGCTGCTGCTGCTGCTGCTGCTGCTGCTGCTGCTGCTGCTGCTGCTGCTGCTGCTGCTGCTGGCGGCGAGGGCGCGGCCGGCGCCGCTGCTGCTCCAGAAAGAGGGGGGGGCAAGGGCAAGGGGCTGCTCCAGCCGCCTGGCTCCGTCCCCTCCTGCTGCTGCTGCTGCTGCTGCGGCTGCTGCTGCTGCTGCTGCTGCTGCTGCTGCTGCTGCTGCTGCGGCTCTGTCTCTGCCGTGAAAGAGCTGCTCTGCAGCAGCCTCCGCACGTGGGCACTGAGCTCTGTTGCTGCTGCTGCTGCTGCTGCAGCGTCGCTGTTTGCTTCAAAGCCCCAACCCTCATATTGCATGCAGCTGGGGGCCCCCTGGGGGGCCCCCGGGGGCCCCCGGGGCCCCTCGTGGAAAGTGTCCGGGGGCCCCCTGGGGCGAGCAGTCTCCTCTGGAGCGCTCTGCGGGCTGCTGCTGCTGCTGTTCCTGCTGCTGCTGTTCCTGCTGCTGCTGCTGCTGCTGCTGCTGGCGGGCTTGCGGGTTTTGTGTCTCTCCGAGTCCGAAGTGTCTCCTGAGCTGGGAGAGGGAGAAGAGGAGACAGCTGGAGACAAGGAGACTGAGGGGGGCGAGGGCGCGGGGCTGTTGCTGCTGCTGCTGCTGCTGCTGCTGCTGCTGCTGCTGCCCTCCGCCTCCCCCTCCAGCTCCTGCAGCATTTGCTGCATCGCCCCCACCAGCAGCCCCACAGGCAGCAGGGGGCCCCCCAAGACCCCACTGTCTCCTTCTCTGTCTCTTGAGAAAGAAAGAGACACTGAGAGACTGCTGCCGCTCCCCACGGAGGAGTAGTGCGTGTAGAGGCCCCCTGTCTCCCCGGGGGCCCCCCCCGCAGCAGCAGCAGCAGCAGCAGCAGCAGCAGCAGCAGCGGGGGGGGCCCCGTGCAGGCCCTGCAAAGAAGCAAGAGACTGCACTCGCACTGCACAGTCTCCTCCCTTGGAGACAAACATCCGCGACAGGGGGCCCTCCGCGCGGCTGCTGTTCGAGCGCCCCTCCAGGGGCCCCGGGGGGCCCCCAGGGGCCCCCGGGGGCCCTCGGGGGCCCTCCAGGGGCCTCGGGGGGCCCCCAGGGGCCCCCGGGGGCCCTCGGGGGCCCCCCAGGGGCCCCGGGGGGCCCCCAGCCGCTTCTCGGGGGCCCTCCGGGGGCCCCACAGGGCCCTCAAGGGTTTCTGGGGGCCCCAGAAGTCCCTGGAGGGCCCTCAAGGGGCCCCCTTGGACTCCTAGGGGACCTGGGGCCCCCTGAGGGGCCCCCTTGGGGGCCCCCCGGGGCCCCCGAGGGCCCCAGAGGTGCTGCAGCCTCCTGGGGGTCTTCGAAGGCCACTTTTGTTGCTGCGGGGGCCCTGGGGCTCTGCGGAGGCGCTGCTGCTGCTCCCGCAGCAGCAGCAGCAGCAGCAGCAGCAGCAGCAGCAGCAGGGCGAGTGAGCTGCTGCAGCATAATGTGGCTGGCGTTGCACCTGAAGGGCAGCCTGTGGGGAGACTCCCAAGAAAACCAATCGGAGAAGAAGTTGTTGAGGTAAAGAGTGAAGAGCTGGTCGCATGCGTGCTGCTGCTGCTGCTGCTGCTGCTGCAAGGTGGCTGTTCGCGGAGACAGCAGCTGCGCTGCTGCTGCTGCTGCTGCTGCTGCTGCTGCTGGGCCTCCGTCGCGGCCAGCAGCAGCAGCCCCGTCTGCTGCGAAAGGGGCCAACCTGACCGACACGCTGACCCCCGGCGCAGCAACTTTGCTGCTGCTGCTGCTGCTGCTGCTGCTGCTGCTGCTGCTGCTGCTGCGGGGGTTCTGCTGCAGGGGACAGCTGCAGCGGCTCCATTTCCAAGAAGTAAACCACCAAGTGCGACAGACGCAAAACCCCAAACACTTCGTACCCTGAAAGGAACGCGGGGGCCCCCCTGGGGGGCCCCTCCGCAGGGGCCCCCGGGGGCCCCCCTTCTGGAGGGGTCCCCTTTGGGGGGCCCCTCTCCGCGGGGGGCCCCCCTGGGGGGCCCTCAGCGGGGCCCCCCTCCGCGGCCCCCGGGGGGCCCCCTTCAGGACAGGGCCTCTTCCCGGGGGCCCCCAGGAGGGGACCCGCAGCTGTACCCTCGCTCCCGGGGGCCCCTGCAGCAGGGGGCCCCTGCGAGCGCCCCTTCGTGGGGGGCCCCCCAGGGGCCCTCTGCGAAAGGGCTTCCGCTGGGGGCCCTGTGGGGCCCCCCTCAGAGGCCCCTCTGGGGGGGCCCCCAACAGGGGGCCCCGTGTGGGCCCCCTCAGGGGCCCCTGTGGACGAGCCCCCCCCAGGCAGCCCCTCGGGGGTCCTCCCAGGGGCCCCCGTGGCCGAGGCCCCCTCGGGGCCCCCTGCGGGGGCCCCCCCAGGGGGCCCCAGGGGGGGCCCCCCAGGGGGCCCCGGGGGCCCCGGGGGCCCCAAGGGGGGCCCCCCCGGGGGCCCCGGGGGCGCGTTAGGGTTTGGTTTGTTGTCTGCGTTGTCGAGCTGGCGAATGAGGGAAAGGAGAGAGGGTTTGGTGTGGGGCGCGGCGAGGACAAGAAGGGGAAAAAGAGACAAAGAATTGTTCAAAGACTTTATTAGACAAAGGAGACCCGGAGAGTCGACTGGGGAGGCCACTGCCGTGGCGTAGGCCTTTCTTGGGGTGTACGTACACCCCGGGGGGGCCCCCGGCGCGGGCGCAGAGCCCGGGGGGGCCCCCGCGGTGTACGTACACCCCGGGGGGGGGGCCGAGGCCGCCATGGCGCCGCCCAGCTGCTGCTGCTGCTGCTGCTGCTGCTGCTGCTGCAGGGGCCCCCGGGCCCCGCCGGCGCCGCAAAGACAAGCAGCAGCACTTCAGCAGCAGCAGCTGGCGGGCGCGGGGGCCCCTCGGGTGTCTGTACACCGCGGCTCTGCGCAGCAGCGCGGAATCTGCGGGCGGCGCGTCGAAGCGCTGCTGCTGCTGCTGCGGCTGCTGCTGCTGCTGCTGCTGCTGCAGCTAGCCACACGCAGCCGAGCCGCCCGGGGCTCCGGCGCGGAAACTGCAGCCCGGGAAAAGGGCAATAAAAACTTCTTTTTTTAATTTATTTTAATTCAAGTTTTGCGCAAAAAGGCGAAAAAAAGCGCCGAAAATGGCGCAGGGAGAGCAGCAGCAGCAGCAGCGGCTGGGGTGTACAGGCAGCTGCGGCGTGCGGTGTACGTACACCTCACTGCCCGTTCCTTGTCTTTCATTTCCTTCCAAACGCCACTAATGAATTTTCTCCATCAAAAAGGGATTTCTTGCATGCACAACGCGCACACATGGCGCAGCAGCAGCAGCAGCAGCAGCAGCAGCAGCAGCAGCAGCAGCAGCGCTCAGCTGGGGGGCCCCCCGCAGCATCGGCAGCAGCAGCAAGGGGGCCCCGTCACCTCCTAACTGAAGTCTTCTCCCAATCTCGGGGCGCTTCTTTCTGCAGTTTCCTTCAAAGTTCACTTTTTACAATCCAAAGCAATCCAGCAGCAGCAGCAGCAGCAGCAGCAGCAGCAGCAGCAGCAGCAGCAGCAAACCACTCGGGGCTGCTCCACCGATAGACTCTTCTTCGTCTCTGCGCTTTCCGCCCCGCGCCTTCCCAGTGTACATACACCGCAACACACCGTATCTACAGCTGCAGCAGCTGAGCTGGGGGCTCCGCGCCCCCAACCCTCCCGAAACCCTAAACCCTAAACCCTAAACCCTAAACCCTAAACCCTAATTCCCGGGAGACAGAAGCGTTGCCTCGGTCTCGCGTGTACGTACCCCCCACGACTCGTGGGAGACACCGCCGAGCGTGAGTCTCCGAGCAGCAGCAGCAGCAGCAGCAGCAGCAGCAGCAGCAGCAGCACACTTGCAACGACAAAGACACCGACAGCTGCAGCAGCAGCAGCAGCAACAGCAACAACAATAACGACAGGAACCGCGGCGGTGAAAACAGCAGCAGCAGCAGCAGCAGCAGCAACAGCATCTGCAGCAACAACAGCAACAGCTGCAGCAACAGCAACAACAACGGCAACAGCAGCAATAACGGCAGCAATAACAGCAGCAATAACAGCAGCAGCAACAAAGACAACGGCGAAACCCGCAGGAACTGCAGCAGCAACAGCAGCAACGACAGCAGCAGCAACAGCAGCTGCAGCAGCAAGGATACCACGATGACGTGGAGTTTTCCCGTCTGTACATGAAAAATCCTTGAAGTTCGTTGAATAGTTTAGGGTTTAGGGTTTAGGGTTTAGGGTTTAGGGTTTAGGGTTTAGGGTTTGGGCTGCCATGGAGGACCACGTGAGCATATCTCGTTCGCCGCTGCAGCGGTATGAGCAGCAGCACGAGCTGCAGCAGCAGGAGCAAGAGCGGAAGCAGCAGCAGCGAGAGCGGCAGCAGCAGCAGCAGCAAGAGCGGAAGCAGCAGCAGAAAGAGCTGGAGCTGCAGCAGCAGCAGCAGCAGCAGCAGGACAGCACCCGCACCTCGCCAGCAGCAGCAGCAGGCCGAGACGACTCGACAGCAGCGGAGGCCAGTGTGAGAGGAGACGATCCAGCAGCAGCAGCAGCAGCAGCAGCAGCAGCAGATGAGGACTCTGTGGCAGTGGGCATTTTGCCTTCAGGAGATGGAGCAGCAGCAGCAGCAGCAGCAGCAGCAGCAGCAGCAGGCGGTGCCACGCATCGAAGCAAGCACCAAAGAGGAAGCAGCCGCGTCCTGCCAGAGCCGCCCTACCGGCAGCAGCAGCAGCAGCAGCAGCAGCAGCACCAGCAGCAGCAGCAGGATGGGGAGCAGGGGGAGCAGCTGCAGCAGCAGCAGCAGGAGCAGCAGCTGCAGCAGGAGCAGCAGCAGCAGCAGCAGCGGGAGCTGCGCGACGTGTGCGTGGGCAGCTCGTACGTGCCCCGGGTGAGCAGCAGCAGCAGCAGCAGCAGCAGAAGTGTCTCTTCTCTGCAGCAGCCGCTGCTGGGGGCCCCCTCGAGTTTGCTGTCGGATGTGGGGCCCCACAGCTGCTCCCGCGTGGCTAGCCAGGCAGCTAGCGAGGCCGCGGGGCAGCTAGCTGGGCCCCTGCGCAGCAGCAGCAGCAGCAGCAGCAGCAGCAGCAGCAGCTTGCGGGAGAAGCTGCTGGGCTACGGGCGCTGTCTCTTCAAGCCCAGTGTCTCCTCAGAGGGGGGCCCCCAAGAGGGTACTGTCTCCTTGTCTCCGGGGGGCCCCCCTTCGGGCCTAATGGGTTCTTTGGCTTCTTCCTTGCGCCTGTCTCTCGGCCGCAGTTCCCGCGCGCCCCCAGTACCCTCTTCCTCCCGGGGGGCCCCCCTGGGGGCCCCCCTGGGGGCCCCCCTGGGGGCCCCCCTGGGGGCCCCGCTGTGGGCGTCGGGAGGGGGCCCCGCGTCGGGCCCGTCGCTGGGGGCGTGGTGGGGGCCCCCCGGGGGCCCCCTGGAGCCTGTTTGGGGGGGCCCCCGGGCCCCAAAGGGGACGGAAGCTGACAGTGGTGGACATTAGCGAAGGATGCATGCAGCGGCGGAGTGTACAGACACCCGAGCTGCTGCGGCTGGTGCACCTGCACAACAAGAGACAGGAACTTTTGGAGACAAAAGTGGGGGCTTTGAAGCTGCGGGACTTGCGACAAGTAGTGTCTCCTTTTGGAGACGGGAGGCCCAGCATTGAAGTCCGCAGGAACTGTCTCCTCGTGAACTTGCCGGGGGTGCGTTGCATTTTGCTGCACCGCCGCGTGCTGCTGCTGCCGCCCCCGGCGCCGCGCTGCAGCAGCAGCAGCAGCAGCAGCAGCAGCAGCAGCAGCAGCAGCTGCTGCAGCACCGGCAGCAGCAGCTCCTTCTTCAACGCCCACGCCCACCGCCTCCCCAGGACCCTCCACTTCTCGGACACCCACAATGGAGAAGAGGCAAGATAGGGCTTAGGGTTTAGGGTTTAGGGTTTAGGGTTTAGGGTTTAGGGTTTAGGGTTTAGGGTTTAGGGTTTAGGGTTGGGGTTTGGGTTTGGGGGCGGGCGCGGCCGCGTCCAGTGGGGCGCGCGGTGGGCCTAGAGCGCGCGAGGCCTGGCGCCAGGCCTTAGGGTTTAGGGTTAGGGTTTAGGGTTAGGGTTTAGGGTTAGGGTTTAGGGTTTAGGGTTTAGGGTTTGGGGTTTGGGGTTTGGCAGGAGGGTTTGCGGGGCCCCGAGGGTTTGGACCCCTACGAGTCGCTGATTTCCAAACTTCTCCATTTGAGCGAATTGAAGCGCTCGGGGCCCCCCGAGTTTGCAGTCCTCGAGGCCCTCCTAGTCCACGTCAGCACTGTCTCCTTTTGTCTCCTTTTGTCTCTTTTTGTCTCTTTTTGTCTCCTTTTTGTCTCCTTTTTGGCTCCTTTTTGTCTCCTTTTTGTCTCCTTTTTGGGTCCTTTTTTTCTCCTTTTGTGGTCCTTTTTTGTCTCCCTTTTTGGCCTTTTTTGTCTCCTTTTTAGGTCCTTTTTTGTCTCCCTTTTTGGCCTTTTTTGTCTCCCTTTTTGGCTCCTTTTGTCTCCTTTTTTGTCTCCTGTTGTCTCCTTTTTGGGCCTTTTTGTCTCCTTTTCGGGCCTTTTCGTCTCTTTTTTGTCTCCTTCTTTGGCCCTTTTTGTCTCCCTTTTGTCTCCTTCTTTGGCCCTTCAGTCTCCTTGTTGTCCTCTTTTTCAGTTTTTTTTGTCTCCTTTTTTGTGTCCCTTTGTCTCCTTTGTTTTCTCTCCATTTAATTTTTTTGTCTTCTTTCGGCCCTTCTTGTCTCCCTTTGTTTCCTTTTTGTCTCCTTTTGTTCTCTTTTTCCTCTCCTGTGTCTCTTTTGGCTCTGTTGTCTCCTTTTTATTTCCTTCTTTTATGTCCTTTTTGTCTCCTCCTGTCTCCTTTTGATTTCGTTCTTTTATGTCCTTTTTGTCTCCTCCTGTCTCCTTTTGATTTCCTTTTATCTCCTTTTGATTTCCTTTTGTCTCTTCTTCTTTAATTGTCTTTTTTTGTCCCTTTTTCTTCTCTCTTGTCTCCTTTCCTCTTTTTCCTGTCTCCTAATTGTGTCTTTTTGCTGCCTCATTTAATTGTCTCCTTTCCTGTCTCCTTTCATCAACGCTCTCGACTGTCTCCTTTTAATTGTCTCCTTTTAATTGTCTCCTTTTAATTGTCTCCTTTTAATTGTCTCCTTTTAATTGCCTCCCTTCGACTGTCTCCTTTTAATTGTCTCCTTTTAATTGTCTCCCTTTAACCGTCTCCTTTTAGTTGTCTCCTTTTAATTGCCTCCTTTTTATTGTCTCCATTTAATTGTCTCCTTTTTATTGTCTCCTTTTAATTGTCTCATCTTGCTTGTCTCATCTTAATTATCTCCTTTTAATTGTCTCCTTTTAATTGTCTCCTTTTAATTGTCTCCTTTTAATTGTCTCCTTTTAATTGTCTCCTTTTAATTGTCTCCTTCCACCCATCTCCTCGAAACTGTCTCCCTTTTAAATTATCTCCTTCAAACTGTCTCCTTTAAAGCTCTCTCTTTTAAAACTGTCTCCTTCCAAACTGTCTCCTTTTAAACTGTCTCCTTTAAAAGTGTTAAAAGTGTCTTTTTCAAACTGTCTCCTTTTGAACTGTCTCCTTTTCCACTGTCTCCTCGAACTTCAGATTACCCCTTTTTAAACTGTCTCCTTTAAAAGTGTCTACTTCAAAAATGTCTCCTTCAAAAGTGTCTTCTTTTTGACTGTCTCCAAAACAGTCTCCTCCTAAAGTGTCTCCTTTTAAAGTGTCTCCTTTAAATGTGTCTCCTTTAAACTTGTCTCCTTTAATATTGTCTCCTTTAAAGATGTCTCATTTAAAAATGTCTCCTTTAAAATTGTTTCCTCTGAAACTGTCTCCCCTTTGGCTGTCTCCTCGAAATGTCTCCTTTAAACTGTCTCCTTTAAAACTCTCTCTTTTAGAACTGTCTCCTTTTTGCCTGTCTCCTTCAAAAGCGTCTCCTTCAAAAGTGTCTCTTTTTAAAAGTGTCTCTTTTTAAAAGTGTCTCTTTTGTGACTGTCTCCTTTCGAAGTGTCTCCTTTTTGCCTGTCTCCTCTAAAAGTGTCTCCCTTTTGACTGACTCCTTTTTGGCTGCCACCTTTCTGAGTGTCTCCTTTAAAAGTGTCTCCTTTCCGACTGTCTCCTTCGAAACTGTCTCCTTTCGAACTGTCTCTTTTTTGCCTGTCTCCTTCAAACTGTCTCCTTCAAACTGTCTCCTTCAAACTGCCTCCTTCAAACTGTCTCCTTCAAACTGTCTCCTTCAAACTGTCTCCTTCAAAGTGTCTCTTTCAAGCTGTCTCTTTTAAACTGTCTCTTCTAAACTGTCTCCTTTAAACTGTCCCTTCCGAGCTGTCTCTTAAACTGTCTCCTTTTTAAAAGTGTCTCGTTTTGCCTGTCTCCTTTAAACTGTCTCCCTTGAACTGTCTCCTTCAGACTGTCTCCTTTTTAAAACTGTCTCCTTTTGCTGTCTGTCTCTTTCAAACTGTCTCCTTTTCAAAACTGTCTCTTCCAAACTGTCTCCTTCTTAAAACTGTCTCCTCGAAACTGTCTCCTTTTCAAAACTGTCTCCTTTTAAAAACTGTCTCCTTTTAAAAACTGTCTCCTTTTAAAAACTGTCTCCTTTTAAAAACTGTCTCCTTTTGCGTCAGGCGTGCGAGAACTTGTTGGGGGAGTTGAGTCCGCTGGCAGCAGCAGCGGAGGGTTTGCTGCTGCTGCTGCAGGAGGAGCGCAGCAGCAGCAGCAGCAGCAGCAGCTTGCTGCGGCGCTGCTCCGCCCTCAAAAGGAGACTCTGCAGCAGCAAGGAACTCACGAAGGGACTCCAAAAAGCCTTGAAAGAACTCAATCAAGAAGGAGACATTTCCAGAATCGAACTCAGTCGTTTTTGGGAAAACGACCAACTCTGGGACTGTCCCCAAAGGTCTGCAAACGCAGAAGACGCGGAGATCCTCCTCGAGTGCTACGAGCAGGAAGTCGAGGCCATCTACCAAGTGAGGGTTTAGGGTTTAGGGTTTAGGGTTTAGGGTTTAGGGTTTAGTAGGGTTTAGGGTTTGGGGTTGGGGGGTGGAGGGACTAGGGTTTGGGTGAGGGGTTTGAGGTCTGCGTGTTCTGGGGCTTGCAATAGTGCTGGGTCTGTCTGCGAAAGCTAAACCGCCCTGCCAAACCCTAAACCCTAAACCCTAAACCCTAAACCCTAAACCCTAAACCCTAAACCGTAAACCCTGTTTCGTCGGCAAGCTGCCTTGGCGTCGCTGTCCCGCTGGTGCACTGTTGGGCGGCTTGGAAGCGCGCCCAAGCGCCAAACCCTAAACCCCAAACCCTAAACCCTAAACCCTAATTTAGGGTTTGCGCAGGTGATCGCGCGGACGGAGGAGGCCCTGGAAGACGCGCTGCAGCTGATGGAGCTGCAGCTGGCTTCGACTCGAAATGCTTTTCTTAAAAGCGAAATTGCTTTGGATATCTTATCCGCTTTTTTCGGGTTTGTTGCTGCTGCTGCTGGTCTCTTTGGAATGAACATAAAGAGCGGCTTGGAGAACGAGGAAAGGGTCTTTTGGGCTGCTGCTGCTGCTGCTGCTGCTGCTGCAGTGGCGCTGCTGCTGGCCGTCTACTGGTGGTTCCAGAGACAGAAACTCTGAGGAGACAACAGGAGACAAAAGGAGACACTTTTGCTGCTGCTGCTGCTGCTGCTGCTGGTCTCTTTGGAATGAACATAAAGAGACAAAAAGGACTAAAAGGGAGACAATGGAGAAGTTAAAAGGAGACAAAAGGAGACAAAAAGAGACAAAAAGGAGACAAAAAGGAGACAAATGGAGACAATGGAGGGTTGAAGAAGTTTGAAGGAGACAGAAAGATATTAGAGGAAATTTAAAAGAAGTGGAAGAGATAAAAGGAGACAAAAAGGGGACAAAAAAGGAGACAAAAAGGAGACTCAAATGGAGATGAAAGAAACAAAAAGGAGACAAAAAAGAAACAACAAAGGAGACAAAAAAAGGGACAGAAAGGGAAAACGAGGGACA